CCCATTGTTTGGGCCGCATTCCGTTCTGGGGCGGCTTTCAGGGTCTGCATTTTTGGTGGGCCCTTTGCTTTAGGATATTTACACTTGGCGGGTTGGTCATGCGAGTCAATGTTTCCAACTGTTTCCGTCTGTCTTCTAACACCGTGCTGTCTCTCATTTCTCAGCATTGAAATTGCAAATAGCCTCCTGTCATTTTGTATAATTAAAGATTATATAAGTTTCAGTGTACTAATAATCTTAATAATGACAGGAGGCAAATTTCCCCCCTTCCTTCTTCCTATCCCTAGGCTTTCATTGTGGATAACTTATTCACAGTTTGGTTTCAGTTTGGGGCAATTTATCATTTTTGTTTTCTTGAAGTCAGTTTTAGTATTATTCTGTTTGTATGGTTGTTTTCATGACTTTTTTCCTAGATTAACGTTATAGATTGTTGATGTTATATTGGTTTACATTGTCGAATTATTTCATGCGTTACTTTGCGTAAATAGTTACATAGTTACATAGCTGGGAAGAGATTTGTTTCCATCAAGTTCAGCCTTCCTCACATTTGGTTTTTGCTGTTGATCCAAAAGAAGGCAAAAAAACCCAGTTTGAAGCACAATTTTGCAACAAGCCAGGAAAAAAAATCCTTCTTGACCCCAGAATGGCAGTCAGATTTATCCTTGGATAGGTATGACTAAACCTTTTCATGTTCTCGTTCACTTTAAACCCCCTTTTGAAGCTGGGTTTCTGGTGTAATTTTGATTGGGCTCCTCGTCTTACGAGTTGCTGATTTCGGCATGTTATTTGTTGAATGTTTCCGTCGTTCTATGTGGACTTTTTATGTCGCAGGTAGAAAAGGAGTTGCTGATTTCGGCGTGGTATTTGTTGAATGTTTCCGTCGTTCTATGTGGACTTGTTATGTCGCAGGTAGAAGAGGAGGTGCTGATTTCGGCATGTTATTTGTTGAATGTTTCCGTCGTTCTATGTGGACTTTTTATGTCACAGGTAGAAGAGGAGGTGCTGATTTCGGCGTGGTATTTGTTGAATGTTTCCGTCGTTCTATGTGGACTTGTTATGTCGCAGGTAGAAGAGGAGGTGCTGATTTCGGCGTGGTATTTGTTGAATGTTTCCGTCGTTCTATGTGGACTTGTTATGTCGCAGGTAGAAGAGGAGGTGCTGATTTCGGCATGTTATTTGTTGAATGTTTCCGTCGTTCTATGTGGACTTTTTATGTCGCAGGTAGAAAAGGAGTTGCTGATTTCGGCGTGGTATTTGTTGAATGTTTCCGTCGTTCTATGTGGACTTGTTATGTCGCAGGTAGAAGAGGAGGTGCTGATTTCGGCGTGGTATTTGTTGAATGTTTCCGTCGTTCTATGTGGACTTGTTATGTCGCAGGTAGAAGAGGAGGTGCTGATTTCGGCATGTTATTTGTTGAATGTTTCCGTCGTTCTATGCGGACTTGTTATGTCGCAGGTAGAAGAGGAGGTGCTGATTTCGGCATGTTATTTGTTGAATGTTTCTGTCGTTCTATGTGGACTTGTTATGTCGCAGGTAGAAGAGAAGGTGCTGATTTCGGCGTGGTATTTGTTGAATGTTTCCGTCATTCTATGTGGACTTGTTATGTCGCAGGTAGAAAAGGAGGTGCTGATTTCGGCGTGGTATTTGTTGAATGTTTCCGTCGTTCTATGTGGACTTGTTATGTCGCAGGTAGAAGAGGAGGTGCTGATTTCGGCGTATTATTTGTTGAATGTTTCCGTCATTCTATGTGGACTTGTTATGTCGCAGGTAGAAGAGGAAGTGCTTGGGTGCTTCCTATACCCATTACTTCTTCATGATTGGTTCTTTTCGTTTTTTTCGCTGCTATGGAGTTTGGTAAAGCGAGATTATGCAAAGTACTTGCCTCCTGTTATTACTGAAATTAAGATTATTAGTTCACCAAAACTAGCAAATCTTTATTTGGCATGTATGGATCGCTATAGTGCCAACATATATAGTAGAGGGGACTGTGCTAAAGGTAAACACAGGACTCAAGTTAAAAGAGAAGAAGAAAGTGAGTGGTCAGGTTATCAGGGCGATTATGGCTGCAAGGTAGAAGTTTGTATTAATATGTCCGTCTGGTTTAGCTGGTCCATGCTGTCCCGTTACTTGTTCCTAGTGACTCTGATTAATGCCAAGTCCTTATTGTAAAGACTTTTCTTTCATGTCCCACAGCGAGTGACAGGCTGTAAAATGGATGCCTGGAGCAATGGCTATTGCCAGGCAACAGGCACAGTGATTGCACTGAAATGCACAAACTATTCCAATACACAGGGGCGATATTGGGCTATAACAAAGGATTTAAAGCCATTTGCTGAACTGGAGTTTATTACCCTTAACTGGCCCAGTGTCGGTGCTTTGAGAAACCCAATATCAATAGGTAGCTCGGTCACCCCATCAGGACAGGCAGCACGGTCACCCCATCAGGACAGGCAGCTCGGTCACCTCATCAGGACAGGCAGCGCAGTCACCCCATCAGGACAGGCAGCACGGTCACCCCATCAGGACAGGCAGCTCAGTCACCTCATCAGGACAGGCAGTGCAGTCACCCCATCAGGACAGGCAGCTCGGTCACCCCATCAGGACAGGCAGCTCGGACACCCCATCAGGACAGGCAGCGCGGTCACCCCATCAGGACAGGCAGCGCGGTCACCCCATCAGGACAGGCAGCGCGGCCACCCCATCAGGACAGGCAGCACGGTCACCCCATCAGGACAGGCAGCTCGGTCACCTCATCAGGACAGGCAGCTCGGCAAACCCATCAGGACAGGCAGCGCGGCAACCCCATCAGGACAGGCAGCGCGGCAACCCCATCAGGACAGGCAGCACGGTCACCCCATCAGGACAGGCAGCGCGGCAACCCCATCAGGACAGGCAGCTCGGTCACCCCATCAGGACAGGCAGCTCGGACAGCTTGGACACCCCATCAGGACAGGCAGCTCGGACACCCCATCAGGACAGGCAGCGCGGGCCAGGTTTGTAATGACAAAATAAATGAGGTTCAGGCACTCAGGATTGCTGCAGAAAGGCAGGTTTATTGGAAGAAAAAGTGCAACGTTTCGGCCTACAAAGAGGTCTTTATCTAGCTTGTTTCATATAACCTACTAAACTGGGTTTTGCTAACCCCGGCCCTGATAAGTACCTGGATTCCTCAGTGTGAGTGCGGTATCTTCCATTTGTGAATTACTACAGTGTTTGCAATGCTGGCTTTGAGTTATTTTAATATTAATAAAATAAATGCTACATTTTTAAATTCCCTTTGATCTCTCATTATATTGAATAGCCTTATAGTCTGAATGTGGCTACTGTGTGTTCAATTTGGCTTCCATTTCAGTACAATTCACTGTTTAGTGGATATGCCCCACATATCTCGCTCCCGGATTTTGGGACATTGTCATATCATAGGGAAACACAGGATTTGTTCATTTATAATTCAAGTTCGTTCCAACATATATAAATAAACAGTTGGGAGAGATTAAACCTGCCAGAACCCCGCAGCATCGTTATATGGCTACATGGCCTTACTTCACTCAATGTGCCATTAAAGGGTTAACTCCCTGCCTCCCGCCCGAGCCGTAACACTTACCTATTCACTAAACTGGGAATTGCCAGGAATTCAATAAGAATTTCCAAACTGACTTGCTATCTGTGTGTGATGTGTGTGGGTGGCTGAGCATGTTGTGTGTGGGGAGGCTGCGTTTGTTGTGTCTAGCCTCCCCTCAGTGGTAGGCAACCTTTGCCACTTCAGATGTTGTGGACTTTATCTCCTATAATGCTCTTACAGCCATAAATCTGGCAAAGCATCGTGGGAGAGGTAGTCCATGCACTCCCAGCCCAGGGGACACATGTAAAAGGTTTAAATGAATAAAATCCCTCTTTTCACACATGAATAATTGTGTCAGCTTATGAGATAGAGCTCTTTACTCAGCCACATACAAAATGGACGAGATTCTATATATTCAACCTTTTCTACTATAAATATATTTACATGGAGGAAAAAAGGCGGCTTAACAAATACATCGGTTTATTCCCTACACTGGGATCCGTGGAGAATTAATAGAAATTAAATAAATGGCGTTTTCTGTACAGTCAGCTCAAAAACTTGCACTTTCCCCCTTTTCAATTCTCCAAAATTCCCCTTTTAAAGCACAAAAAGTCCTCCGTGATCAACATTAATAAAGGAGTTTTTTTTTACTAAACAGTGAGCTGGTGGAATAGGTGCAAACTGAGGCCGGTACAATCCCAGCTAAAATGGCAGATAGAGCCCTTTGCAAACCAGGGTTTAGCGGATAAGCCCCTAAATAGCAATGTCTACACAAATCATATAGAGAAATTCTTCCCAGACACCTAGTCGCACACAGCGCTGGCATTTTTACACTAAACAGCGAATTGCAGTGAATTGAAAAACAAATGACATCATTTTAACCAAAATGGCCGATGTGGAATAATCTCCAATTCAGCTACGTCACAGCTCGGCTACTTTAGTCTAAATCTGCAATTTATTAATTTCTCTCCAGTTCACGTGTTGGCAAATAAAGCGTAATGATAGTTTCTAAAGCACTGTACGGAGCCTCCAGTCCTTCATAATTAACCCCTTCCCTGCTTCCAACAGGTATACACAGCTAACGTCCCTTCTATATGTTTTCAATCATTCATTTTTCATAACGCATACAGATGGAATGGTGTATGGTGTTGGTGGCAGACGAAGGGTTAATGGATTTTTTTCTTGCACTGTATTTTAGGACAGATTAAATGACCCCAATACATGTTTAATTCATGTAAAATACAGAAATAATCAGCTGGAAGGTAGATCTGAATAAATGGGCATCGAGCTGTATTTTAGCTTAGCGTCTCTAAGCTCTGTGTACATTAAATGAAGACACAGATACAATGACACAATGCAGATCATTAGAGAAGGAGCCTTGCAATGGGAGAGCTACTCTGTGACAATGCTGCGAGGTGTTTCATTGTATCTTGGGCTGGGGGGATATTGGGGAGGGGGCTCAGCACTGACACACTATCTGATTTGGGAGCTGAGACCCATTTCCATTGGTGGAAAATCCTCATTGCAATGAGTGAGCTGAGCTATAGGAAGGCATTCTCATTTCAGCACCAAGGGCAGCAGCAACTACAGGCACACAGAGACAGGGGGCTTCAACCACAGACACACAGAGACAGGGGGTTTCAACTACAGACACACAGAGACAGGGGGCTTCAACCACAGACACACACAGACAGTGGTCTTCACCAGGAGACAGGGGGCTTCAACCGCAGACAGGTGGCTTCATCAGGAGAAAGGGGGCTTCAGTCAGAGACTGGGGGCTTCAACCAGAGGTAGTCAGCTTCATCAGGGACAGAGACTTTAGAAGTAGACAGGGGCTCCATCAAGAGTAAAGCTTCAACAGAAGTCAAGGGGGCTTCATCATTAGGAAGGGGGATTAAATAAGAGGAAGGGGATTTATTAATATGAAGGGGAGCTTCAAGTAAAATCCATTCCAAGAGGAGTATTTTAATACGCCCATAATAAGCTACTTATCTAGCAGGGGTTGGATGGACTCAGGAGAAGAAACCTACCCATTGGTAGCTCTCTGAGGACCCATATCTCCTCTGAATGACCTCCTCAGAGACCACCACTCATTAAATAACCCCATCTGCCCTCTCACTCTATGCCCAGAGGAAGGTTTACCTGCCTGTCATTCTGATCTCAGCTTCCCCCTGTTTGGAGCTGAGAGACCCCCTCAGGACAGGACGTTGGCGAAGTGTGGGCGCTCTCAATCCATGGACACGATGAGCCTTCTCCTCCTAGCTGTCCTCTTCTTGTTCTCCTTTGCACGGGCTGGATGTGACCCCAAAATAGTCAATATTGGGGCAGTTCTGAGCACCAAGAAGCATGAGCAGATCTTCAGGGAAGCGGTCAACCAAGCCAATAAAAGACATGGGACTTGGAAAATCCAACTCAATGCCACCTCAGTCACCCACAGACCTAATGCCATCCAGATGGCACTTTCAGTATGTGAAGACCTCATCTCCAGCCAGGTAAATCAAGCCACTGGTACTCCACCATTTTCAATCACACTCAGAAGTGCTGTACCAATCTGTGCCCCCGGTCTACATACCTGTCTGAGTGCTTGTCGGTCTGTCTAATTGTTTGTCTGTCTGCTTGTCAATCCGTCTGCCTGTCTGATTGCTTGTCTGTGTGTCTGATTTCTGTCTGCTTGTCTATGTTGTGCTTGTCTGTCTGTCTGACTGCTTGCCTGATTGCTTTTCTATCTGTCTGTTTAACTGTCTGTCAGCCTGACCGGCGCCTACGTGTCTACCTGTCTGTCTGACTGACTATGTATCTGTTTGTCCATGGATATGATTGGGAAAGTTGATAGTTAAACCGTATATTCTGCCATGTATACAAAATGCGTATATTTGTTAACAATGTCGATATAATCATACACGCTTAGCTGTATATCTGCCTGTCACGATAATACTGACCTATGATTCCATGGTATATTTTGTTATAGTACGTACAATATTTGTAAGCCCATTATAGAATGTAATATATCACACTCTGTGTATAAGATGTACGATATACATTATATAATTTAATATAAGAACATTATAGAATGTGATATAACACAGTCTGTATATAAGAACATTATAGAATGTGATATAACACAGTCTGTATATAAGAACATTATAGAATGTGATATAACACAGTCTGTATATAAGAACATTATAGAATGTGATATAACACAGTCTGTATATAAGAACATTATAGAATGTGATATAACACAGTCTGTATATAAGAACATTATAGAATGTGATATAACACTGTCTGTATATAAGAACATTATAGAATGTGATATAACACTGTCTGTATATAAGAACATTATAGAATGTGATATAACACTGTCTGTATATAAGAACATTATAGAATGTGATATAACACAGTCTGTATATAAGAACATTATAGAATGTGATATAACACTGTCTGTATATAAGAACATTATAGAATGTGATATAACACAGTCTGTATATAAGAACATTATAGAATGTGATATAACACAGTCTGTATATAAGAACATTATAGAATGTGCTATAACACAGTCTGTATATAAGAACATTATAGAATGTGCTATAACACAGTCTGTATATAAGAACATTATAGAATGTGATATAACACTGTCTGTATATAAGAACATTATAGAATGTGATATAACACTGTCTGTATATAAGAACATTATAGAATGTGATATAACACAGTCTGTATATAAGAACATTATAGAATGTGCTATAACACAGTCTGTATATAAGAACATTATAGAATGTGCTATAACACAGTCTGTATATAAGAACATTATAAAATGCGATATAACACTGTCTGTATATAAGAACATTATAGAATGCGATATAACACAGTCTGTATATAAGAACATTATAGAATGTGCTATAACACAGTCTGTATATAAGAACATTATAGAATGTGCTATAACACAGTCTGTATATAAGAACATTATAGAATGTGCTATAACACAGTCTGTATATAAGAACATTATAGAATGTGCTATAACACAGTCTGTATATAAGAACATTATAGAATGTGATATAACACAGTCTGTATATAAGAACATTATAGAATGTGATATAACACTGTCTGTATATAAGAACATTATAGAATGTGATATAACACAGTCTGTATATAAGAACATTATAGAATGTGCTATAACACAGTCTGTATATAAGAACATTATAGAATGTGCTATAACACAGTCTGTATATAAGAACATTATAAAATGCGATATAACACTGTCTGTATATAAGAACATTATAGAATGTGATATAACACAGTCTGTATATAAGAACATTATATAATGTGCTATAGTACAGGCATCATATAAGTATAGATAGATTGTGAAATGAACTATCAGTGTGGCCCCCAGGACCACCATGTTTTCTGAGATCTGTACTGGCATTCTGGCCCCATGTTTCTGAGTCCTATATTGGCAGTGTGGCCCCCCCATATTTCTGAGTCCTACATTGGCAGTGTGGCCCCCCATATTTCTGAGTCCTACACTGGCAGTGTGGCCACAAGGTACCTCATGTTTTTGAGTCCTATATTGGCAGTGTGACCCCATGCAGGGCCAGTGCAAGGATTTCTGCCACCCTAGGCAAAGATCCGTTCTGCCACCCCCTCATGTCACTCACTCACATTCACTGACATACATACACTTACTGACAGACATACACACACACACACACACACACACACACACAGAAACTCACTGACAGACATACACACAGACAGACACTCACTGACAGACATTAAGACACACACTCACTGACAGATACACTAACTGACAGACATAAACTCACTCACTGACACACACACTCACTGACAGACATACACTCACTCACTGACAGACAGACAGACATACACTCACTCACTGACAGACACACACAGACAGACACTCATACACTCACTCACTGACACACACACACACAGACACTCACTGACAGATAGACATACACTCACTCACTCACTGGCAGACACTCACTGACATACATACACTCACTGACACACATACACTCACTCACCGACAGATACACAGACAAACAGACACTCACTGACATACAAATACTCATTCACTGACAGACACACACACAAGCAGACACTCACACACACACTCACAGTCAAACACTCACTGACCAACAGACACAAACACACTCAGTGACAGTCAAATACTCACAAATTCATTGACACACAGACTCAGACATCCAGCCTCCCTACCATCCTGGGGTCCAGTGTGGGGCAGCTCCTCCAGCACGCTGTTTAGTATGTCGGGGCCTGAATGACGTCATATTCCGGCTCCCGGCATCACAGAGGGCGTGCGAGGGAGGAGTGGGAAGCTGCAAGAAGAGCCTCGCTCGCCGCCCCACTCTGCCGTCTCCTGCCTCGTTTCCTCCGGCATTCATTGGCAGAGCAGGCACCTGCCTTCAGGGTAAGCAGGTGCCTGCTCTACCATACTGAAGGACAGTTTCGGGGGTGCCCTGAGGTGGCCAAATGGCCACTTCTTGGGCCCCCTGTGACAGGGCTCCTCTCGGCGGCCCCCATCTCCGGGCGCATGGAGGGTCGGCCCAACGATGAGGGGTGCGGCCCAGGACAGGGGGAGCCAACTACGAAATATCTCGGTGGGTGCCCCCTGTAGGTCGGTGCCCTAGGCGAATGCTATACTGGCAGTGTGGCCCCCAGGGTCCCCGTGTTTTTGAGTCCTATACGGACAGTGTAGCCCCCAGGGTCCCCATGTTTCTGAATCCTATACTGGCAGTGTGGCCCCCAAGTTTCTGAATCCTATACAGGCAGTGTAGCCCCCAGGGCCCCATGTTTCCGAGTCCTATACGGGCAGTGTTTTTGAGTCCTATACGGACAGTGTAGCCCCCAGGGTCCCCATGTTTCTGATTCCTATAATGACAGTGTGGCCCTCAAGTTTCTGAATCCTATACAGGCAGTGTAGCCCCCATATTTCTGAGTCCTATACTGGCAGTGTGGCAATGTTTCCGAATCCTATATGGGCAGTGTAGCCCGCAGGGTCCCCATGTTTCTGAGTCGTATACTGGCAGTGTGGCCCCCAAAGCCCCCATGGTTTCGAGTCCTATCCTGGCAGTGTGGCCCCCACAGCCCCCATGGTTTTGAGTCCTATCCTGGCAGTGTGTCCCCAGAGCCCCCATGGTTTTGAATCCTATCCTGGCAGTGTGTCCCCAGCGCCCCCATGGTTTTGAGTCCTATCCTGGCAGTGTGGCCCCCAAAGCCCCCATGGTTTCGAGTCCTATCCTGGCAGTGTGGCCCCCAAAGCCCCCATGGTTTCGAGTCCTATCCTGGCAGTGTGGCCCCCACAGCCCCCATGGTTTTGAGTCCTATCCTGGCAGTGTGTCCCCAGAGCCCCATGGTTTTGAATCCTATCCTGGCAGTGTGTCCCCAGAGCCCCCATGGTTT